GGCGTAGAAAAGACTATAAATTGTTTTTAACGTACACAGTTACTGAAATTTAAAACTGTTAAAAGAAAGGCTCAATAACTGTTGCACAGATATAATACACTACGCATCAATTTCTCTTCCCTTTGTGCTTTGCAGTTTTTAACACGAAGCGCTTACAATGTGCGCATCCAGTGTATAAAAACAGTTCGTGCTGCACTGTATTTGTTTTGTCCTATCGTATCTATCACATGTTGTTTCCTTATTAAAAAATATGCTATACATTCAAAAGAAATTTATTTTAATTTTATAGTATATACTTAAACATATATATGAATGTTTTTAATGAATGGATTTTATAATACAAATAGCAATGTGTAACATTTTACCATATTTAGTGCAACACTTTTATTTGTTCCCCACAAAATATTGTTTTTTTATTAAATGTTTGGATTTCTAAAATTATTGTGCACTGATTTTTCTTGAATAACTTTTGCTGCCGAATTATCCAGTAACCTAGTTTATGATAAATTTTTGTCATAGATAATAAATATACATAGGCCTATATTTTTTCATATTTATTGTTTATTTTATTTTTCTTTATAATGAAGTAGTCTGTATCTAGTAGATTGTGAAAGAACGATTATCAGTTCCACACACAGAGATATATAAATTCTACATTTATTTAAATGAGGGAAAAAAAATGTCACTGGTATCAGATCGGTATCTGTATCGGCCAATACCGAACCCTAGGTATCGGAGGCGAAAAAGGCGGATTGGAGCATCCCTAGTTTGATCCTTCGCTGGCTGTGCTGATTTAAATCTAGCGGTTCTGTTGCATTTGTGTCGCAAGTTCAGTGATGCAGGTAGTGACGATTCTCTCCGGCCAATCCGTGATTTTGGTAACAGTACGGTTCACTTGAAACCTCAACCGAGGTGGTACTAAAAAAAGTACCAGGTACCAGGTACTGTACCCAGTGGAAAACCCCCCAAAAGTGAACCGTATGTACCATGCAGTGGAAAAGTGCCATTTGAAAGCTGTGCGGACGCGGCTGTGCGCGAGATGGAAAGGAACGCGGAAAGTGAAGTATACCTGGGCCTTTAGACAAATACATATTTGAAATATGACAGCTGTGCCTCTCCCAAAGCAGATGTGTTTTGGATAATACACTTAAGGTAGTTATTTTGTGCCAACATTGTCAGACTTCAAGGAAAAGTTCAATTTTAAATGCAAAACAAAATTTAAACAATTCAATCCATACTAACCCTGACTGTGGTCTGACCGAGCCGTCCTGACTGGAAGCCCTTGAGGAGATCCTGGAAGCCGCTGATGGCCTTGGGGATCTCGGCAGGGGTGGGAGGCACCAGCTCCACACGAGCATAATACCAGAATGTAGCTAGCCGGGGCTTGGAGTAGTTCACAGCGGCTGTAATATATCATTACAGTCGTTGATCAAGAAAACATACACAAAATATAAGTCACATTTCCATTTATGAAGGAAACTTTACAAAGCCAGTGCCATAGGAAAAATCTACGTGTTTGATTTGAATGTATCTTCACACGTTGACATTGGGCCAATGTTCAGTTCTGTCAGCTTCAGCATAACGCTGCTGTAGTGCGCGTTCAGAATGAATTGTGTCAGCTATAAACGGAGTAAAACACTAGACCATTAACTAACACACTTGTTGGTCATTTGCTAGAAGGAAAAGTCAGCGTATCACCACACTTGCTGTGTACATAGTAACGTTAAATGTAATGTTTGATTGATTTAATGCGTGATTTGCTCATTTACGCGGCCTGTTCTAACAGCTGCGGAAACCAGAAGCACACAGCTCAAAACAAATCTTTCGAAGAAATACATCTTCTATAGCTTGAGGAAAATGGGATTATTCTTACCGCCGACCAACGTTGGCACTTTAGCCACAAGTTTCTGTACCGTCTGGGCCATGATTTCTGTGACTGTGAAGGTTTTTTCGTCGCTTTTCTCCACGAACCGGGGCCCTTCAATGAATGTCACCTCCAGCGAAGGACCTTCGATCGAGGAGGCAGAATATACGCCTGACTGAAATTGCGAGCATGATGTATTTTAAAAGAAAAATCTATATAGCATATATGTATATATCTATATCTAAAATCTATAATCTATATAACCTCAGTGTTATAACAATGAAAAAAGTATGTTTATGAAAATAAAATATTTTTATCCAAAATTAAATACGGTATTAAATGCTTTTCATAGCTATAAATAATGGCGGCTTAAATAAGTGCTACTGCTAATGCTAAAGGACTGTATAAAGGGCTATATTATCTTCCATGTATCAGTCTTGTTAAGGCAAATAGTGTAAATATTTACTTATTATTAATTATTAATGTAGTATCAGTGGCCTAGGTCAGGACAACAAGAACACAAAAATATGTTCCTGAAATATCATTCATGATGAATCAGAGACATTTATCACACATTATTTTTCATTTGTAATATTATTATATTTAAATTTTTTATTTGGGGAAAAAAAAGAAAAATACATATGACCTCATTGTAATTTAGGCTATTTAGGATCGAAATGACAATCCTGATATGGTAGTTTCATAAGTCGTAACCTGGCAGAACACACAGTGAACACATTTTAAAGTACTTAGATAATAATTCTCAGAGACACAGAAATTAAAATTTTTCATTTCTGTTCATTTCTGTCTTCCTGCTATGCATACTGTATTTTTACATCCAGAGATATAACTTTTATGTATTCACAGCACTCTGAATGATTATGACTATGTGCAAGGGAATGATTCCCAAGGTTTAGGCAATGTAGGTCAGAGAAATGAGCTACCCAGTGATCAAATATCAACATTGGCTACCAGAAATAGCTTACTCTGCCTTTAAACATCATTCTCAAAGCACTTGTTTTAATGGCCATCACCACTAGGTGGACTATTAGTCTGGACATCACACAATTCATCAGTCTTCAGTATTGGTGGTTCAGCAGCACTTGAAAGGTTTTCCTCCACCTGTAACAAATACATGAACTTATATAAATAAAGTGCATGTGATGAATGATGCTTTTGAGTTTTGAGGTTTGTGTGATATAGGCTAATCACACTTAATGCAATTAATCAGTAAGCTATACATTATTGCTACCTCAGAGATTGGTGCTAGTTTGTTCACAGTGATTGGCTTCCCATTTTTCTTCAGCCAGTCATAACCTTTCTGATCTACTACTAGTAAAGAAAGAGTGTCTCCTCCTCTTTTCACATGTAAGATCACATCCTCCACAGACTTTTTCTCCACATTCTGTCCATTCACCTCCACCACCACATCACCCTGAAGGAGACCTGAAGTCTGTCCTGGGCCTTCTGCTGCTACCTGAAAATGTAAAATAATATATACCGTCATTATAAGTTTATCATTTAGTTTACATGCAATTATATATATTTTACTTTTAGTGTTCTATAATTTCTAACAGATGACACCCTGGATATTATATTCAGTCCACTATATGTGGCCTAAGGCTGATTTTCCAAGCGTATACTTCTGTGAAGAATCCCCACCGAACAATGCTTCATTTCTATTCACCTCTGAAGTCAGTATCGTCTAAAGGCTGATTTAGCAGTGAATGGGCTTCATTGTACCTGGCTGATGAAGGTGCCAGGTTTCTGATGGACGCAGGCCAAATGGAAGCCAAAACCGGCAGAGCCCCTCTCCAGAATACAGCATCTAACATTAGGATTGATCTGCACATCCTCCTGAGACTCAACAGGGGGCACTGCAGGCTTCAGCGTCACTGGGATTTCCTTTTGCTCCTCAGGGCTACCAGATGTAACATCCTCACAGAACAGCAAGGGAGACAGGCCCAACTGAGAATAAGTAGTATATGACATTTAACAGACAAGGAGACAAACAGGCATAAGCAAAAGGATGAACATTTGTTGATGTATTCATCCTTTTATTAACTATTATTCATCCTTTTATATTGAATTATCAATGTGTCTAAGCGTGATTCTTCAGTTAGGGGAACTTAAAAACAAATATCAGTTCGTAGCTAATGCTATAGGATAGATTTTATTCTCTTTAAATGTTTTTAATAGTATCATAAGTTTAAATCAAAATGATTTTTAATCATTTAAAAATAGGTATATATTTTCATTTAATATTATTTGTGTACTATTTTTTTCTGTAACAAAGAATTGCTGTCATCAATACTTCTGTCATTAAGATTACATCGAGCATCTTATAGAACAATTCAGTTTTTATAAAATAAAATATTTGGTTATGATGTAAATGAGAAGTAACAAGGATGCACATATCTATATATCATAACTATTTTATAAAGTGTCATTACCAAATGGGTTAGAAATTGAGAACCAATTTTTTTTTCAAAGTTAAGTTGCATTGACTGCTAAGGTGTTGTTTTAGAAAATCCAGGCTTTACCATTACACACAATATAAAATATCCACAGCATCACACACTATATTAATATCCACTTTGGTTGATCAAGTCCATAATCAGACCTTTATTACTTTATTCCAGATCTTTATTCCTTTTTTCTTAACGTTTGAGAAATCAATTTTAAGAGGTCCAAAGTGCCCTTAACTGGAGAATCTCCCCCATATTAGTATTTATTTGCTCACTCTGTATATTCACCTTAGTGTAGAAGTCCTGGCCCTGAGGTGGCGTAGTTGTGAGGGTGACCTGCTGTCCACTCTGTCTGATTTTGCTGACGACTTCATTATGACTCAGTGACTCTGTGGATTCTCCATTCACTTCAAGAAGCATCTCACCTTCTTTAACACTTCCCATTTCAGCAGGGCTGCCCTTATCCACCTCTCTCACCATGTGGACTGTAAAACCAAACAGAAATATAGACTGCAATCCATTCGAGTGACTGTATGCCAGAGTATGAATTAGCATGTCAAAGTGTGTGGCTGCCTCTCACCAGTGCGTCCTGCTCCAGTCTTCTCCTGCCTGAGCAGGAAGCCATATCCTTCCGGCCCCAATACCAGATGCAGTCTGCGAGGTCGATACGGCATGTTCTCTGCATCAGCCATGGCTGGGAGAACGGGCATTTTCCTTCGGACATAACTCTTCTCACTGTCACTGTCAATCACCAGCACTGTCATGTGATTGCTGCACTTCTTTACCTGGAAATATCATCACTTGAGATAAAAGTACACCATAACACCATAAAAGATCTAAATGCTGCCCATAACATGAGTTTGACACAGCAGACTGTTGATTAGGTAATTGTAAGTTACCTTACCATATACAGTGAAAAATTGTAAATGATTTAACATTGCACTATATAATTTTACTGTAAAATAATGTAAAATGTAGTAAAAGGACATTCCCAGAAGTCACTGTGTGACACATCACATGATATATTTATTTATGTATTTATGTAGTAATCAGTAACATACTTTATGATGTTTTTTGTTACATTTTCTTTTATTAAGTTCATGTTTATTGCATTATTTAAGTTTTGCGTGTTATCCTGATGTTGTTTTGTCTTTGTGCGTATGATCTGTGTAGGGACAGGCTACTTACAATGAATCCTGATTCATCATGTGGCTGTCTATTTTATCACTTGTATTATTATGGGAGTTATTAGTACATTTTTAGGATAAAAAGCAGATTTTGGTAATTCAAATAGATTATACAATGGTATATTGGCATTATATCACTTGATGAAATATGTGGTTAAGCTGTAAAACATACAGGTACCAATATGCCATCCTGTAATATCTGAAACATTGTCACTATATTTTTTACAGTCAATTTCTGACAACCACAGCTGTTTTTTTTAACCATACATTTAACAGGATTTTTTTTTTTACGTTATATCTGAAACAAGTCCATGCTTACCATTTTGCTGATAGCAGAGTGTGTGAGTTCAGAGGCCATGGCACCATCTATCCAGATCAGTTGGTCCCATTTCTTCACTCCTGCCTTCTCTGCAGCACCTCCTTTCACAGGACTTACTGTGAATTTGCCTTTCTCACCTACATCACAGATAAAACATCAATTGCACACTTTACTTCCAGCCTCCCTTCTTTTAAAAAGAACATTACAAACAAACAGCATTGCTAAAAAGACAGATTTTGAAAACGTTTATTTTATATGTATCTATGAGAATACTGTACTTCTTACCTTCCACCAGCTGTATGTTGAGGCCCAGGCCAGGAGCATCTCTTGTGATGTGGCAGAGACGAGGAGGTCTCCATCCTTCCCCACGGCTAGCTTTAGCCAGCTCTCTAAGGTCACGACCCTCAGACACAGCCAGCTTGTAGGCCTTTTCATCTAACACCAGGAAGCAGAGTTGTGATCCACTCACCTGAATCCTACGGGCCACCTGAGAGTGAGACAAACATAATAAAGCACTCGGTTACAAACCCTGACACACACGAGAAGAAAAAAAAAACAGATGTTTATAGCTTGTACAGTAAAAAACATACAGTAATTGCAAAATAAAGGTCATGACCTCTCACCTCCATGTGTTCCACATTGTCAACAAACATCTCATTGACTTCAAGCAGGCGGTCCCCATCTTTGAGCCCACTCCTCTCTGCCACACCCAGTGAATCCAGCTGCCTGATTATGTGACCCTGCCGCCCTCTTTCCACACGCAGATGGAAGCCAAAGGTTTCTCCATCTTCCCTCTTCAGCACACACACACGTGGTGAGGGCTTTGACACAGGCTCTGTCAGCAAAGTCAAAGTTAAATGACAAACTGTACACTTTACGGTATATTATAAACTATCTGTCACTCTGATAATAAAATAATCCTATGCTATGCACCCTGAGATTTGCATGTTTGTAGTTCTCTAATGTTGGTTAATGGCCACATGACATGTAAATAAAGTATATAGTTAGTTAGTTAGTTAGTTAGTTGGGGTTTTATTTTAGCTTTTAATTTAATTAATTATTTTTTTATTTCTTTATTTGTATGATTAAAGTAATTATTAGCTTTTCATCCACTCACAACTCCCCTGCAGTTCCCTCACAAACCCCCAGGGGTTTGCGAAATCCATCTTGGAAACCCTGTGGCTTCCAATTGTGGTATGAGCAAAAAAATTTATAAAAATAAAAATAAAAAATACAGTAAAAATGATTGAAATCCTTATTAATTCCAATGTAGCAGCTAACACTATTAATAATAAAAAATCTCACTAACCTGTATCATCTGCAGTCACCATGGCTGGATTGTCTATTCCCTCCTTGGGATTGAAGGTAAACCTGAGAACATAAGAGAATTAGTTTTTGCCCTCTGATAAGTTCTGTACACAACAGCCAATGAGATCCAGTGCACTACCATAAACAAGTCAATATACACTCCTCAGGGGTACTTCATTGACAGTGTTTCAGATAGTACACTCAGATGAAGCCATAAGGTGAGGCGTGTCTGTCCATGAGCGTGCTTATCAAAGCAGAAAGCACAAAGTCAAAAGCTACAGTCTGTGTGGATGTGTGTCTGTGGAGGTACACGGGTCATAAAAACATTACTTACTCTGTCAGTTCCATGGCGTCCCGTAGTACTGCAACTATAGTTGTGAGGGAAATGTTGATAAAATGTTGACAACCTCACAGCAAGGCCAAACACACCTCAAATTCCAGGATAAAAAAACACAAATTCCTAGAACTGAGTCAAGATCAGTCATTTTGCCTTAAAGATTACATTTAACCTTGGGATTTCATAAACAGACCTTGACTCAGAAAATGTGGCTATAGCTCATCTGCTCTGACTTCCCCTTTATAATTTAGATTGGTCATCCATAGTGAGAACATGTGTTGTTTGTTAGCCAAAAATAATCAAAGTAGTGTTTGGCTTCAGTTGATAGGCTTTGATTAAACATCTTAGTTAAATATGCTTTGGATGTTTGCCTTGTTGGCAATACTGAGGCCACTATCTATTGCCAATCGACTAAGGATTTTATATTGTTGACAATCACTCTTTATATTAAGGTCCAGCACATGTCAAGAATGGCAAGACGAATCATGTCACCGCATTCTGCACATTACTTAGTTTATAGCTTCATCTGGCTCATGGTCAATTTTAAGGTTACAGGTTAAAAACTAGAAATGTTATAAATACAAAGAAATGATAGCATAGAGACTGGATGTATTTTGTCCTCAAGCAATGATAAATGAACAGAACCCATGGCCCTGAGTTCACACAAACACCCAACCACTGATGGAGTGACCATGATTTACTATCAACCTAATAGTCAAAACATTTTCTTTTCCCTTCAAAATAAAATCAAATAAAATTAGGGTTGCAAAGGGGTGGAACATTTCTGGTAACTTTCTGGAAACTTTCCAAAAAATCCCTGGAATATTCCAAAAAAAAAATCCTGGAAAGTTTCCAAAATTTCTGGAATATTTCCGAAATTTACTGGAAATTTTCCACCTTTTTGCAACCCTAAATAAAATACATTCATTTAGGATTATCCATGACCATGCAGGTATACTACAAAAGTTTTTGCATAAATTCCACTCAAACTAACCTCGAGCCTCTTTTCTCCTACATTTTTACAATTAAAGATTTAACAATGAGCATCAGTATAGTGTACAGATTTCATTAAAATAAATGGATGAAAAAAAAAAGTTTAAAGCATAGTACAAAACGTCAAAACGGTGAGGAAGAGCAAAAAAGGTTAGCCAGAGGTACCTGAGCTGTTTCTTTGTCTCATAGCAGAGTCGGTGGAAGATGTAAATCTCAGGAACACATTGAGCTGATATACTTCTCTCACGTGTTCTTTGTCCTGCTCCACTTTTAATGGTTAATCTGACTGTGTGCTCACAAAGAGGGGCATTTTGTTCCTGACCCCTGGGTGTAAAACCCACACACAGTCATTCTCTCTATAAATATCACACCTGCACCAGCAGTGAACACAACAACATCTGTCACAAAATGTTAATGCATGTTCATATGGCAAGGACTATTCATTGACGTATGCAATTGCTTAAGAACAGCAAACTGTGAATATCTAGGTAATATAAGACACAGAAGATGGAAGGCCTATGAGGGGAAGCAAGACGGAAGGTGGGTAGGAGAGAAGACTCCATAGTTATCAAGAGCTGTCAATATGTCTCCCCTCTGATGGACAACAGTGCTAACCTGCTAATTGCAAATGTGCCATGAAAAGAAAGGCTCAGCTAAGATTAAAGTTTTTTATCTTTTCTGAGAGAGTGTAATCAGGATACTTAGAAGAATATTGAAACCAGTGTAATCCGAGACGGGCTAAAGGACATTCTGAGACCAACCCTTACGCAAAGAACGATAATGAAAGTTCAAAATTACAAATTGCTGATTTTAAAGACTTTAATGCTGATTTGAGAGCTCATGTGTAAAAATCCAGCTGTCAGTCACTGATTCCAAAAAGTGTACATAGTAAAAAATATGTCATTACAGTCAGGAGCATGGAATATTGTAAAAAAAATAATGATAGCATACACTTTCAACAATTACTGAAGTAGAATTAATTTAACCAAAGTCAAGGGCCAAGTGTACATGCAAAACTGTATATTGTAATATACCTGTACATACAATTGTCAATTTGTATATTGTTATTCCCGATTAACTTGTTCTAATTTCTTTTATTATCTGTTTATTATCTATTTTTGTCCTGTATTTCTTTATTACTGTATTTCACTAACTGCAACACTGGTTCAGTGTTACTTTTACTCTATGGAGTGGGACCATTTGAAAAATGAGCAGCATTTAACACTGAGGGTTTTGCTGTCCCATTAAAATGTAACCTGCATCATGCATTTTTCTTATAATAATTTCTTTAAATAATTTCTTAAAATTAATTGAATAATCGGTCTTTATTTATTTATGAACACACTAAGAAACTCATACATTAATTTTGTTGTGGTTTTGCTAGGATCATACCAGCACCCAAAAGATCCACCAGCATTCCAAGCTGGTCCCAGTGTGCAAAACATACCTTATGCTGGTCCACCAGCACACCTGATTCCCATGCTGGGGACCAGCAAACCACCATCCCATGTTGGAGGCCAGCAAACCATGCTGGTCCCAGCATGCAAAACATTAAACATTAAACAATAACATTAAACAGATCTCCCACTATATTAATATTGAGCAAAATGCATGAAATAACACTTAACTTTAAGATTTACTCTCCTTTAACTGTCAGAAGCAGAGCATGCTGAGGGCTAGAAATCTGCTGTAACTCATTCAGTGAACGTGTGTATATATGTGTGTACATACATTCACATTTATATGGGAACATAAGTGCAATATATATGCACAATAAAGGATAAAACATTATGAGCATTACATGTAATGCTATTTTTGTCTTTTCTAAATATTTTTATATGTATCAATATATAACCATACATGGTCAATGCATATATTGCAGTATATTGAAAAAATATAAGCACTATTTACCTATATATGGAAATGTATTATGTAATATATCGCATTATATTTTGCAATTTATTCCCATATATTTTTGTTTTGTAAGGGAAACTAATACAATCAGAGGTCCTGATGGTAATATCACTGGCAGCAGTACCAAGCATTTAGATGACACTTATGCTATATTATTTACTTCAACGTTTTATCTGTAGAGGTTTTGATTCATAACAACACACATTAAAAAAAAAAGTGTAATTTACACTCTGAATATTCAGTCAAATTCAATGTATTCTGTCATCATTTACTCACTCTGTTGTTCCAAACTTGTATGTATTTTTCAGAATGCTAATAACCAGTTTCAGTTCCTATTGACTTCCTTTTTTTTTTATGGTCAAAAATATAATGGAAGTGCAAATCAAAACTGTTTTGTTACCAACATTCTTCAAAATATCTCCTTTTGTGTTCCACAGAAGAAAGAAAGTCATACAAGTTTGGAACTACACAAGGTTGAGTACGAGTAAATGATGACAGAATTTTCAAATTTTGGGTGGACAATCCCTTTAAGCAGGCTGTCCTAAATCAAACTTACTGCAGGGTTAGAAAGTCAAATTTAATCAAATAATATTTTCTAAAAAAATCCATTAAGTATTTACAGAGTATTTTAAATATGTGTAGCCCGGACTACTACAGAGACAGAAATCATTAGGTGTAGGTAATATATAAATGCATTTATTATAATCATTTGGACATGGTTCAGCACACATAACTTGCATTTTTAATGAGGCAAATATAATAATTATGCAGCAAAACTGGGAAGCAAACTGCATTATATGCTCTTGTTCTCTGCACATCTTGTTGTGCAAGCCAAAACCTTGTAGAATGTTTTCATACATAAAACTGAATTAACAAAAGTTTTTTTCAATATCTCGCAAATTGATTTGCACTTTACCTGCTTATCTTTTTTATTTTCCAATCTGAGAGAGAACCATCAAAGGCTTTTTATTTAAGGCATGCATGCTGCGCAACAAAGAACGTGATTTTGCTTAAAGAGAAATTAACATAATTAAATGAGTGTGTGAAATATGATCTCATCCGGGTGTCTCTCAAAATCTTCCAGCTAAGACTCCACATACAGAAACCCATATCGAAACATACTAATGACACAGACACTCAAAATGATTTGTATACAATAGAGATTTGACAGACGACCACCGGAAATATATCGAATATTCAAGGATTAGATAGGAAATATCACTCACTAGGCACAGAACAATACTATTGCTATTACCCAACTCTCTACACTAGATGTCTGTGTACCATTAGAAGACAGATTCTTGATGGTGAACATTTCCTTATTCTAAAACTCTCCGATGACTCAAAGGGAAATAGAATATAGAACACTCTTTGTGTAAGCAGCTGCTGGTTGGTTAGCATCAAGCAATATTGAATACTTGATTGTTGACTGTTGAGCAGCTAATAGCTTCATTGATCTCTTGCTCTAAAGCAGCTCTTCTGAAAATGGAGCTTGTGCTCCGAAAACATCCACAACCAAGAGCTGACTTAGTTTTTTCCCTGGGTATACCATGTGGCAAAAAAAAGCAAAAATCATTTTGGAGCAGCAATTCTTCAATTGCAGAATGGCCAAAAGATCATCTTTAAAGCTGTGCGCAATGTTTTGGCGGACAGATTGTTCTAGAAAAAGAGCAATCGTACCTTACAGTACTACGTGTTAAAACTAAATGCTACTGACTTTTTTTGAATGCCGACTTCCTGTATGTATCAAAGCCTGTATATCACATTTTTACTACTCACAATGCTCACTGTCAACTTGCCCAACGGTAACATTCTAAAACAAAATAAAGATGTTCTAAAATTAACCCACTGCAGATTATTCAATCATTTTGGGAGTATTTTGTGGATTACAACACATGTGCAACATAAATTCCTCAGTCACAGCATCTTGTGTTTTGATTTCAAATTCGTCATGCATTTTCCAGTCACAACACTCCCTTTTCCAGAATTGCATGTCATATTTACGGATATAAAAATAAAATTAATTACAAACGAATGTCCAGAAAAGTTCCAATAAAACAAAAATGCATACATGTATTTACAATCTTGCTTAAAGCATAACACATATACTTTTCTTTGTGTATATACTCAGATTATTAGTAGCCTTCATTATATTAGGACATAACACACAGCAGGACTCAAAAAGATTTCCAGAGTAACACTGAGTCAGTTGTGAAGATGTTTGCATTGCATTGCGGTATTGAATAGCCTGGCTGCTAGAGGGGAGAAGCAGGGAGGAGGAAGTGTACATACAGGTGCAAACAACAGATTTATCCATCCCGAAAAGCACACCACACCACTGAAGATGGCATAAAGTGTTCATCCAGCCTCTCTCTCCAGGTGTATGATTGTGTCACTTGCAACTAACCACAAATGTCCTGACATCCCAGATTAAGTGTCCAGGGAAATCACAAAAGAAGTAGAAAGAAACAGGCCAGCGACTCCTATTTAGACAGTAATGGTTGTTTGCATGAGATGTTCAATAGGATTAGGATTGCAAATGAGTTTCTGACATTTGATATGTGTCGTTTTTGGCTAAATGCAGTCAATTCAGTGGTGCTTTGTGATTAGCCGATTCACATTGAGTTCTTCATATTTTTGGTCACTGTTTTTTGTACTGTACAAGTTAAAAGGTTTGATCCCTCCTGATGAAAACGAGAGAGCAAAAGCCCACAAACTATTGTCTGTTTCTCTCTCAGGATACCACAAAGGCAGTTGTCAGAGAATTCAAGGTAACAGGACAGATGTATACTGACAAAATGCCAAAATGCTTCTCAAGCAAGGTATTCCAGTTGCCCTTCTGAAAAAAAAAAAAAGATAGGCAGTTCACATCAAGGGCACTTGCTGCAACATTCCTCAAACGGTTAGATTTAGGTTGACGTTGATGCATTGCCCAGAATTGCCTTGGGAGATCATGAAAGTCTTAATATTCAGCAGGTCGCAGAAGATATTATTCTCCTTAAACACTGTGCATTGTGGGAAGACAAAAAATGGAATTGAAGATACGCTGGCTGGACGATTCATTCTTATAATCTGTAATATCCCGAACGCCTCACACAAAGTTCTCGCTTCTGCTGCTTGCATGTCCTAAAGTGCCCCAAGCATGCAGTGCACTCTCCTCCGAAACACATTTTGATGACATCCTCAACGTTCTTCAGTCTGAATGAAATACATTAACAGTGAGACGATAGTGTGATGATCCTTCAGTATGGCATAAACAGACTCGCATGTTGGCTGTTGGCCAATCCACATGCTATTAGGGGCTGTTATGGTATTGTCATTGTAAATATTGTAAAAACAGTCCTGTCAATAGACTCATGCTTCAAAGTTCAGTCTAGGGCTAAATGCATTTACACCGTTACTGCATGGAATACGTTCAAAATTGAAAACTAAATAAATGAACAATTTATATATTATTTACTATTCTATACTTAGAGAATCAAAAATATTTTCAAGTAACAAAAACTGAGGATAAATGTTGCACTGCCAAACAATGGCCCCGTAATCAATGTGCATTGGTTTCTGTGTCCATTGCAAAAAGATTATGTGCATTTATGAGAGTTTATGTGTATGTGAAATTAAATGTATGTCTGATGATGAGTTTTGGCCCTAACGCTCTGACTTGACTTTATAACGTAGAACTAGGTAAGTGGCGAGTCTCAGAACCAAGAAGAAGACCCCCAGAACCATGAAGTCCACGTAGAGCTTAGCATCCTCCACATCCAGCAGCTGCAGCACCTCCACTGGTTTCTGGAACTTGCACACCACGCCGGGACACTCCAGCTCTGAGCGGTTCATACCATAGATGGAGAGGATCACGCCCTCAAAGCCATACCTGCAGAGGAAGACATCAGTGTGTGAGTGTGAGTTTTCTGTGAGATGATCGCCTGTTTAGGACTGTCCTTGTTATGGTTCTTGACCGACCTGACGTATGACAGATAGGAGCTCCACTGAAGGTATTTGGGGATGGTGTCAAAGTTAACAAAGAAGCCCGAGAACAGAAGGACTGGGATGGCAGAGACTGGACCTACGAAGGTGGCAACCTGAAATTGCAAAATAGAAAAATAAAAAAAAGTGTGTGTTAAAGCAGGGGAATTTATTTTTTAAGTCTGTCAAAATTAAAGGGAAAGTTCACCTAAAAATGAAAATTCTGTCATGTATTACTCACCCTCATGTTGTTCCAAACCCGTAAGACTTTCATTCATCTTCGGAACACAAATTAAGATATTTTTGATGAAATCCGAGAGCTTTCTGACCCTGCATAGACAGCAACTCAACTGACTGAAAAATATCTTAATTTGTGTTCTGAAGATGAACGAAGGTCTTATGGGTTTGGAACGACATGAGGGTAAGTAATTAATGACAGAATTTTCATTTTTTGGGTGAACTAATCCTTTAAAATATTAATTAAATGTGCTTAATGCTGAATTTAATTCATTTTAACATAACACACACACTCAAAAAAAAACAAAAAAAACACGAAAACTAAATATTATTACTTTCTCATTGTGTGTTACATGTACAAGTACATTTTCCTTTTTTTATAACTACATATACAGGGTACAGCAGATTAAACTATACATATTTTATTTACATACCTATTTTGTGCTTTGGCACATGACTCTGACATGAAGTTTAAATTACTATGTATTATTAAAATTACATAGAAAATGTATATGCAATCCAATAAGCTGCTGTTCAAAAGTTTGCGGTCAATAAGATTTATTTTTAATGCTTTAAACTGATCAAAAGTGACAGTAAAACTTTTACACTGTTAAAAAATATATCCGTTTCAAATAAATGCTGTTCTTTTGATCAGAGAATCCTGAAAAAAAATTATTACAGTTTTCACAAAAATATTACGCAGCACAACTGTTTTCAACATTGATAATAGTAATAAGAAATGTTTTTTGAGCACCGAACCAACATATGATTTCTTAATTATCACTTTAGACTGGAGTAATAGAGTAAAAATTCAGCTTTGCCATCACAGGAAAAAAACATATATAAAAATATATTAAATAAGTCTTATTTTTAATTGTAATAATATTTTAAAATATTACTTTTACTGTATTTTCAACAAAATGAATGAAGTTTTAGTGAGCATAAGATACATCAAAATAAATAAATACACATAAAAATTTTACTGACCACAAACTTTTGCATGTTACCACAACTGTTTTGAAGTCCTCCTACCTGTAGAGAGGTGGATGCAGCTCCAATCAGAAGCCCCAGGGACTGAGCCACTAGGGCAGTGGAGGTGGACAGGGCCATAAAGAGCAGGTATCTGCCTGCCTCTGGAGGCTGCTCTGTCATCCAGTACACTATACTACAGTACATTATTGGGCAAATTATCTGGAAAAGAGAGAGGAGCACTCATATTCTGACATTTGGATTCTACCTGGGGCACATGGAATGATTTGAAAAGTGGGACAGACACAGCAAAGCATTGGTTGACATGTCCCCCGTCCCTTTAGAAATGCTCGTCTCCTCACATGCCAACCTTCCAAGTCCTTCCAATCAGTTAGAACAGTGGCCCCTCCCTTTGATTTAACATTATAACATGTAAAGATAAAGAAACAGGAGTACCTGGAATGGAATGTCAGCCATGGTCTTGGCCAGGTAATATGCCTTTAGACTGTACCAGTAATTAAGATGCTCCCTTATAAACACAGGCATCTCCAGTGGAACTGCGAGGGAAATACATCACTGCATCAGTGCCTAATTCAATTTGCTCCACTGGTTCTGTAAAGACCATAACTCTCAATCAAGCCAATATGAGTGCTTCTAATCCATCACAAACCTAAAAAGACTTAGTAATCACTCATGTCAAATCTATTTTCCATGCTCATAAAGAATCAAGCACACACAACCAAACACACAGAATGCCTTACATGTCAGGACGGTGGGCATGAGTGCAGCAAACATGAGAAACAGCATGGAGAAGAACAGGAAGCCAGTGTTGTTGAACACTTTGCTGGCATCATTCCCAATGTTTAGGTACAGCAGACCAATCAGCACACCAATACACAGGTGTGACATCACTCTCAGGTGTGTTAATACCTGAACACAGACATTGTTTTGTCATTGCATTTCTTTAGCCTTTAATATATTAGGCACAGCCAATAACAATCGAGGACAATTCTTACCATGTCCCTGCATATAGTGATGAAGGTTCTCTTGAAGAGGATGCAGAACTGTGTGAGGGTACTGGTGGCAAAAGTGTGTTTCTCAATGTAGCCTGATTCCTGTACGAATACACATAAGAATTGAGGTGGGCAGGTCAGAGACTGATAAACAGACAGATTTTGTGTGAGAGAGTGTGTGTCCATTGCTCACATTGTAACACTGGGAGGGACAGGATGTGGTGGCATCGTTCTTGTCACTGGAGTTCTTCTTTCCCTCATCTGAGCACAGGCCTCCCTGAACCGCCTCGAAGAGCACAGGGTTCAGATCACCGTACTCTCCTGAGGCGACCTCGATTACTGCCAGCAGAGAGACAGCAGAACTCATACACATGCTCAATGATTGACTAATAGACAAGAGGAGCCAAAGCGAATGATGACGTCTTTGAAAGCACTAACAGGATACGATTACTAAAATTTCACAAAAATACATTTACAAATGCACAATTTTGAAAAAAGTTTGGGTCATTATGATTTCTTCATATTTTTGACAGAAGTCTCTTATGCCCATCAAGGCTGCATTTATGCAATCAAAAATACAGTAAAAACAGTAGTATTCTGAAATATTATTACAATTTAAAATCACAATTTTCTATTTTAATATATTTATTAGATGGCAAAGAAGAATTTTCAGCAGTAATCACTCCAGTCTTCAGTGTCACATGATCCTTCAGAAATCATACTAATATGATGATTTGCTACTCAAGAATTTACTCATTGAATTTATTATCAATGTTGAAAACAGCTTTGTCACTTAATATTTCTGTGGAAACCATGACATTAAAATATAGATTTTTGTAACAATGTATTTACTGTCATTTTTGATCAATTACCTGTGACTTTGCTGAATAAAAGTATTAATTTTCAAAAGAACAGCATTCATTTGATATCATCTTTAAAAAAAAAAAAAAAAAATTGTACTGACCCCAAACTTTTAAACAATAGTATATATTTATTGTGTTAATTCATTATTCCACATTTATATTTTATATATTATATTATATTATATTATATTATATAATAACATGGCAGCTATGAGGGGGTGACCTGTCCTATGTAGAATAATACCATAACCTAGATATGAATGGATTATCTCAAGTGAGAGTACATTTTGTACATATTGAGTGTATTTATTTAGTTACATTTTTAAGAAAAAAAAAGTAATACCGTTAATTAAATATTCACATAAAAAGATACGTTTGTTCAGTCATAATCTCCCTGACAAACTAAAGCAAACAAATGAGACAGAAAACAATCTAATATAGAACATATAAACTGCTACATTAGTGCTAAGTTTCAAACAAAAATAGAGAGCATACATAAAGATCTGCATATCAATTTCTATCTATCACTTTCTCTCTCTCTCTCACATACACACACACACACACACACACACACACAGTAGACCTACTAAAGTCTGCAGGATTGTGGTACGTGGGGCAGTGGAGTCCAAGGTTTTTCAGGTAGGGGATAAGGTACGGGACTGTTCCCTTATATATACACTGACCTTGACTCAGGATATAAAGCTACAAAGAAGAACAGACTGAGTATTAAACAAGAACATGAACACATTAACATCCTCACACACTTCAACCCAGAAACATATTTTCACAGAACAATATAATTTTAGAATACAGCAATTACTTTGTCAAACATTTCAAACAGTTTAGCACTGGGCTGGTGGATGGTACAGATGATGGTTCTGCCTCCCTGAGCCAGAGATTTCATCAAGGACACCACCTGGAAACAGGAGGCGCTGTCTAGACCACTAACATACAGAAACAAACACACATGCCCGTTTGGGGATATTAAACGGAAATGTTTTGTAAAGGAGAAATATTACGGCAAACATCAACTTTTGAAAGGCTTATGGTTAGGAATAAGGCTGCGTGTAACACTACAGCTTTGGGCACCTGGTGGGTTCATCAAAAAACATGACAGGTGGGTTGTTGACCAGCTCCAGAGCAATAGCCAAGCGCTTACACTGGCCACCCGACAGAGAAATGGTGCGAGTGTGAGCGCACTCCTGCAGTCCTAATGCTGTGAGGATCTCATTCACCTGTCACACATTATATTATCATTTAGATTCAAAAAATGCATAAACTCAATGATAATTTATAACTTCCTAACAGAACACATATTATCTGAACATAGAGTAAAGTGATAGCACAAAAACTTACCAGTTCTTTTTTCACTTCCATGCTTTCATTAAGTTTAAGGTTAGCTGAAACCTAAACAAAAAAGAAAGATTACATTAAATAAGGGATAATGTACAATCAGCTGGTCATTCTCAGAAAAAAATCATCCTGATGGGGATTATGTTGTGATAATTACCAAATAACTGTATAGAAATGATTAAAGTTGAAATTATTGTATCATTTGAGAGCGCTTAGTGATAATTATGCAAAAGTTTGTCCACAGATGGCAACAACTGACCAATCAGAATCATGTATTCTAGAGCGCCGCCTACTGATCAATAACACACGATAGAAAACTTCTTATGCTCACACACACACACACACACACACCATCATTGCCTCTCGTGTTGTCAGGTGTGGCAGTAGCATGTCATCTTGCATTATGTAACATGACATTTTTCTGAAGGTGCGGAGGTCACGGGGTCGCCCGTTTACCAGGATCTGACCTTTCATGCCTGTCTCTCTGCAGAAAGAAAGGATTCGGGACAGAAATCTTCAAGAGTTTATAAAAAGAAAAGCTAGAAATGGATAAACATGAAACAAATTCTGGAATATTTCTTCTCCATGCATACATGCACTTTTACCTGTAACCGGCAAGAATGTTCATGAGAGTGGACTTGCCGGCCCCTGAGGGTCCCATGATTCCGATGAGTTCCCGACTGCAGAACTTTCCAGACAGACACTTCAGAAGGGCCTTAAATCCTGCACACAGCATTTTGGGCACATCGTGTTCAATACAGTTAGAGTTACTAGCTGCCAAATTCAAGTTGGCATCAAACAAATACAGGCTTGATAAAACACTGCAGTATAATAATATACATATAATAATATTTGATAGAACTCCAGTGAAGTACTTTGTACTCAAAATATTTTGATTATGCAGTCTAGAAAAATATTAACTCTTAAGACAAGTAATGTCCAATAAAATTATTTAAACAGCAGAATACAACAGTCACGATTCGAACCATCATCCAACTGTGATAATTATAACCATTTTCATTGAAAAAAGAAATGCATTCATTTAAACACATTATGTGACACAAAATAATAATGAACAATGCAATAACTTACATCAATAACCAGGTACACCACAGACTATTAAAAATCACAAATGGAATTTAAATGGTTACACTTTATTTTAAGGACCAATTCTCACTATTAACTACCTGCTTATTAGCATGCATATTACTAGCATAAGAAAAATATTAACTCTTAAGACAAGTAATGTCCAATAAAATTATTTAAACAGCAGAATACAAGTCACGATTCGAACCATCATCCAACTGTGATAATTATAACCATTTTCATTGAAAAAAGAAATGCATTCATTTAAACACATTATGTGACACAAAATAATAATGAACAATGCAATAACTTACATCAATAACCAGATACACCACAGACTATTAAAAATCACAAATGGAATTTAAATGGTTACACTTTATTTTAAGGACCAATTCTCACTAATAACTACCTGCTTATTAGCATGCATATTACTAGCATACTGGCCATTTATTAGTACGTATAAAGCACATATTAATGCCTTATTCTGCACGACTATATTTTAGATCCCTTAATCCACCCCATCCCTAAACTTAACAACTACCTTACTAACTAATAATTAGCAAATTAGCAGTTTATTGAGGGAAAACTCTTAATGGTGAATATGTGTTCCCTATTCTAAAGTGGAACCAATATAATACACTAAAACTGTTACTTAATGCAGTTAAAATTGCCTTTAGCTTGATGGATAGAAATTCTTGCACATATATTTTTTCATAAAAATTAGTTTGAGATCAAACAACAATCAGCAGACTCCCAGTTCGAAGACCCCCTTTTTTATTGGCCTGAGTCATACAGTGACTCTTATCTTTGCCTCAAGAAGGAGACAGAAACTTGAGCTGCTACTGACTCTCTTGTTAGCTTTTTTTATGTGATTAATTAATTATATATGCACACTTACACTACAGTTAAATATTTGGGGTCAGTAAGACATTAATACTTCTATTCAGCAAGGATGCATTAATTGATCAAAAGCAACAGTAAAGTAATTTTTTTAAATTTAATTTCATTAATGAATCCTGAAAAAAGGTATACATTTCCACAAAAATAATAGATATCTACAAAAAATAGCACAACAGTTTAAGAAGAAATACGAAATGTAATGTAATGACTGCTAAAAATTCAGCTTTGCCATCACAAATATTTTACATTTTATTTATTTTAAAATATATTAAAATAGAAAACAGTTATTTTAATTCAGCTTTGCTTCACAGGAATAAATTACATTTTAAAATATATTTAAATAGAAAGCTGCTATTTCAAATGTTAGTAATATATATCACAATATTACTGTTTTTACTGTATTTTTAATCAAATAAATGCTGCTTTGGTGAGCATAAGATACTTCTTTCAAAAATTTTACTGACCCCAAATTATACATTATATTTAAATTTTACTGCTGCAATTTTATGTAGGAGGAAGTTATTTTCATTTGAGATCAAACAACAATCAGCAGACTCCCAGTTCGAAGACCCCCTTTTTTATTGGCCTGAGTCATACAGTGACTCTTATCTTTGCCTCAAGAAGGAGACAGAAACTTGAGCTGCTACTGACTCTCTTGTTAGCTTTTTTTATGTGATTAATTAATTATATATGCACACTTACACTACAGTTAAATATTTGGGGTCAGTAAGACATTAATACTTCTATTCAGCAAGGATGCATTAATTGATCAAAAGCAACAGTAAAGTAATTTTTTTTAATTTCATTTCATTAATGAATCCTGAAAAAAGGTATACATTTCCACAAAAATAATAGATATCTACAAAAAATAGCACAACAGTTTAAGAAGAAATACGAAATGTAATGTAATGACTGCTAAAAATTCAGCTTTGCCATCACAAATATTTTACATTTTATTTATTTTAAAATATATTAAAATAGAAAACAGTTATTTTAAACTGTAATCATATTTCACAATATTACTGTTTTTACTGTATTTTTAATCAAATAAATGCTGCTTTGGTGAGCATAAGATACTTCTTTCAAAAATTTTACTGACCCCAAATTATACATTATATTTAAATTTTACTGCTGCAATTTTATGTAGGAGGAAGTTAATTATTGAATATTTAGCAGAACATTAACTTTTTCAGCTTTTCTTGAATTCAGCTAAATATTGTATTTATGTTTAATGAATATTTCATTCCCCTCCCTAGCACTCCACCCCATTAAATGCTGAGAACTCATCCACAAATGATATGCCCTGCATCCTGTAACTAATAATTCATCTTTAGATTTTGCTACATGCTGACGATGTGTAACCTGAGCATCAATCTGATCGTGCATTCATTCTCTTCTCCATCTACGGCACGAGTTAAAAACAAACAGCACTGCGTAAGATCTTTTACATGGGCCTGCACCATGCTGTATGAGCTGAACTGGGATCAGCCTGAGAGGGCTCTTGGAAAGCTTAAACACATTTAATCAATATGCATCCATGCAGGTTGTGGTTATGTGCTGGTAAGGAAGAAGGTAGCCATCAAACGGCTAACAATATGGTCTTGTGTTACAGAGTGTTAGGAGTGTTTCTGAAAGGAAATAATAGTAAAAATCTGTATTTATTATTATTTACAATATATAAACATATATACTGTGAATAATTATACATTTTGTAATATATAAATAATCTTTTTACACAATTTTAAAGGCGAACTCAAATGTTTTTTCCCAATTAAAAAAGTTAAGTTAGTTGCTATGAAGCCCCACACATGACAGGCAGAAAAAAATACATATCGTGGCCATGTTGTTCTTTTTCTGATGTTTACATTTAGTTAATTCTTTGTTAAACTGATTTACCTAAAATGAGGGAACAAATTAGTACAAGGCGGCAACAATTTACCTAAAACAAGGAAATAAATTAATTTGTGGGAATTATTTATTGATTTGTGGCCAAGATATCTTGTTTTTTGCCCAAATGGTTAATCAGCCTATGGTGTTAAGTGTGAACAGAAGTGACAGAATGAGACAATTGTCAGTATAACATAAAAATGCATGGCAAATACTCAGCGTACTTTTATGAATAATTTGCTCATATTGACAAACTGATGTTGCAAAAGAATAACTGTTGCATTGCTGTACAAGCTGCAGGCTATGAGTGCTAATAACTGAAACACTGAATCAACTGTACAGTGATGTAATTCTCCTGTACAAATTACACCCTCAAGCAAGAGTGCAAAATCCCATATTCTGCATTAAAACAATCAAGTAAACAGTTTGAAGGAGAAATATGTGTAAAATGATCGTGTTGAATTCAAACTGAATCAAATATCTGGTGCAGTACAAGAGTGCCTTTGGGTTAATTAGCTGCTATTAAAGCACAGAGACAGTCTCTCTGGAGATCCACGAGATCCATGTTCAAAAGCATAATAGTCACAGAGCAGATTGTTAACAGCCCTGTGCATTACCCATAACTCTAACTTTACCACTGGGCTCATTGCAAATGCACTGGTATTGTATAACATCTATGGAAGCCATGTATGCTACTTCCCACAGGTTCAGATCAAGGCAACCATCCAAAATGCAGAATGTTTATGACTCAACACGTTCCAAAAAGCCGTGAGAGTGGAAGAACAGAACAAGGAATAAGAAATTACAGGAAGATAGAGAAGATAAAATATGACAGGTGAACAAGCGTCCAGAGAGAGAGGCCAGAGGTAATGCAGAAAAGCAAAAACAACAGAGACGGATCAATAATGATGAGAGGCTAGAAAACAGAGCGAAGAGGCAGTATGACATCAAAAAGAGGAGGGTTAAATGGCAGGAAAGCCACAAACAGCTTGTATTCATCCATCAAAAATGAAACCATCAGCCTGCATATATAACTATTAATCTATCTGCTCTTCCTGTACTCACATACATTATCATGCAGAGCTTGGGGAAGTACTTATAGAGGAACAACATGTCCTTCACAATTAAATCTCCCATATGCGTACATGTTATATGGACTGCACAGCAATGAAATGGTGCGGAATACAGGACGGGCACGTGCACACATAGACTTAAAAGGGGGCTTGAGCACCTGCCCTTTTTCTTCCTTGAGAGAAAGTGCCCTTTTTTTCTGGATAAAAGGGGGCTTGAGCACCTGCCCTTTTTCTTCCTCGAGAGAAAGTGCCCTTTTTTTACCGTGTCTTTTTTTTTTTTTTTTTGATAAATGAATATATGTATAGCTATATGTGCGAGTGTGTGTGTGTGTGTTTATGTTTGCGCACAGCTTTCCCTGTCAAACTAATAAAAAAATCAAACTATCACTGTTTACTTTAGCCGCATTCATCATGAAACTTGCTAATTAGCACATTAGGAAAGGTGATTTGAAAAGATTCATTAAAAAAACCTTACACTCACTTCTTCTGTAGGTGAAGCTGGATCACGAATGATTCGCGCGAACATAGACGTATTTATGTAGATTGGGGGCGCATTCTCTTCAAAAACAAACGTAATCCACTGCGTCTTCAGCGGCTCAGATGTCGGGAGTAAATGACGACTGCTATGTTCATTATTACATCCAACAACAGAACACCTCAATCGCTTAGGAGTCATTCTTGTCTACATCTGCTCCAGCGGTGAAACAATGGCGGACTGATGACAGCTCACAAAGGGTGGGTCTGAGGTAAGACACCAGTCCAGTCTGTGCTTAAACGCTACGGTCAATCAAACTATCATGGGAGGGGCCTGTTTTTGTGACGTCACACAGACAGGCATCTGAGATCGGCACGATTTGAGAAAGGGGTAAAGATTTGAG